ATAGAGGCAGAGCCAGTTTATAGGCGGCGGTACCAGTTCTGTCTAAGATCTCGAATGGCCCAATAAACCGAGGGCTTAGTTTCCCCCTCTTGCCAAACCTACTGATTCTCTTGAAATGAGTAACCTTAAGGAATACTCGATCGCCTTTCTCAAATTCCAAATCCCTTCTCCGTATGTTCGCGTAACTCTTTTGTTTGCTTTGAGTCGTCTGAATGTTCTTTCTAATCTTAACTATTTTGGTTGTAATCTCCTCTACAAGGTCAGGGCCCGAACAATTTTCTATCACTCACTTCTTTCCAACAGATTGACGATCTTCATGGGTGACCATACAATGCCTCATACAGAGCCACGTTAATACTTGCTTGTTAATTGTTGTTATAGGCGAACTCTATCAAGGATAGATGGTCATCCCAATGGCCCCCAAAGTCAAGAACACAAGCTCGGAGCATATCCTCAAGTATGCAGATCATCCTTTCTGACTGTCCATCGGTTTGAGAGTGAAATGCAATACTAAGGGACAGTTTCGTTTCCATGGCTTGTTGAAAGCTAGACTAGAACCGAAAAGTGAACCTGCGGTCCCTGTCAGACACTACTGTCACTGGCACTATATGTAATCTAACTAGTTCCTAGATATACATTATTGCCAACTTTTCCAAGGAATCGGTCATCTTGATGGCCAAGAAGTGAAAAAACTTGCTAAGCCAATTAACAATTATCCAGATGGCATTATGTCCTGAGCGTGCCTTAGGCAATCTTGTCACAAAATTCATGGTGATATGTTCCCACTTCCACTCCAGAATTGGTAATGACTGAAATAGCCTACCTGGGCGTTGATGCTATGTCTTGACCTGGTGACATACCAAACACTTAGAAACAAAGTCAGTTATATCTCTTTTTATCCCGTTCCACCAAAATCGGGGATGCATACTTTGATACATCTTAGTGCTTCCGAGATGCATGGCAAACTTTGAGCTACAAGTCTCTGTCATAATGTCCATTTTTAACTCATTGTCACCTGGAACACACACTCTATCCTGAAATCTGAGCAACCCATCGGCAAAACTAAGAATTCTGAGTTAACTCCTTATTCTGCATCTTTCTTGAGGATTGCTAGGGTGGAATCGGCGGACTGCACTTTCTTTATTCTCTAGATTAACTCCACTTGAATAGTCAGATGACCCAAACATGTGACTCTCTTTAGGTCCTAAAGCCGTACCTGTTGTGCGGTCCCTATCTGCCTACATTCTGAAATCATCAAATGAACTAATGTAATTGTGTTTTTTCTGCTGAGTGCGTTGGCTACCACGTTGCTTTTACCCGGGTGATACATGATATCACAATTATAGTCATTGAGGAGTTCTATCCACCTTCTCTGACGCATATTGAAATCTTTTTGAGTGAATATGTATTTCAAGCTCTTATAATCGGTATAGATCTAAAAGGTCTTTCCATATAAATAATGGCACCAAGTCTTCAAGGCGTGAATAATTGCGGCAAGTTTTAAATCATGGGTGTGATACTTTTTCTCATGACTCTTCAACTGTCTGGACTCATAAGCTATGACTTTTCCATGCTGTATCAAAACATAACCCAACCCTAGATAGAATGTGTAACTATAAATTGTATATCCACCTTATCCGTTCAGCAAGGCCAAGATAGGTGCAGTAGTTATCTACTTCTTTAGTTCTAAAAAACTTCTTTCATAGTTCTCGTTCCACTCAAACTTGACATTCTTCTTTATGAGCCGAGTCAGAGAAGTAGCTAGACTAGAAAATCCTTTCACAAACCTGCAGTAATACTCTACCATCCCCAGAAAGCTACGGATCTCCTTAATCAAGGTCAATTTTTTCTATCTAAGTACTGCTTCAACTTTTTCGGAGTTAACTGACACTCCATCCTTTGATATGATATGTCATAGGAAGGTAGTCTACTCAAGACAGAACCCATACTTACTCAACTTTACATACAGCTTCTTCTCCCTGAGAACCTGCAAAACCTGAGTCAGATGGTGAGCATGTTCCTCTCTGCTCTTTGAATAGACCAAGATATCATCGATGAACACAATGACAAACTGATCTAAAAATTATCTAAAAACTTTGTTCATCAAATCCATGAAGATGGCTGGAGTATTGGTTAGTCCAAATGATATGACCAAGAACTCATAGTGTCTTTATCTGGTTCGAAAGACTATTTTGGGGATGTCTTTTGCCCTTATTTTTACCTG